CTGTGAGTAGAGAAAAGGGTTGCCCGGGTTCTGGCTTTTGCTGGCCACTTCCTACCTGGTGTCCTAAATACTGAACTTCTGCCATTCCTATATGGCATTTACTGGGCTTAAGGGTTACTACCTTCTCTGCATGCCGGTATAATAATCCCTTGTCCCAGGCGTATCTCTCCCCCTCCAGCCCTCCTTGGTCCTTAGCTAGCTTACCCTTGTACACCAGCAGGGAAGGGTCTAAAGCTACCTCGCTGCCAAATTCTAAGGGTGCATCCCAGGGATTAACAGAAGGGGTGTGGGGCACACTGCTTACCTGAGCCTCAGAGTGATCAGATGGAGCCGTGGAGCGAGCCTGCTGCCGAGTAACCACCGGGTATGCTGCATGAATGGTGGGTTGGGGAACAAAGGTGGATTTGAGCTCCCCCAAGTCGTTGCCCAAAATAACATCAGTGGACAAGTCCTACATAATCCCCATCTCCACATCTCCATGCCCCACTCCCCAATCCAAATGTACCTTGGCTGTAGGTACCTTGTAAATGGATCCCCCTGCCACCCGCACGGCTACACAATCTCCAGTGAGGTTGGTTTTTGGCACAAGGTGGGTCCGGACCAGAGTCAAGGTGGCCCCAGAGTCACACAGCCCCTGCACACCTTTCCCCTCCATGTGTACGACTTGGCAATGCCCCTGTCGGTTGTCTGAGGCAGCCTGGATGGGGTTCACCTCATGCAGGGTTCCCAGGGGTTCTTCCACGGAGGTAGTTGGGGTGTGAGAAACCAAGGATCTTTTTGGTAACAGTGTACCGCAGCTCTGTAGGAGGTGATGGGCCCTGGCTATGCCAGTTGGGTAGGTGCCTGTTCCTTGGGCAGTCCTGCCGGTTGCATGTATGGCAGCGGATTGGTGGTCGGGTATTGTACCGGGGAGTGTATGAGTTGTGGCTTACCCCTGGTCGTGGATGAGCTGTAGTGGTCACTGCCGGTGGAGGTGCTGTATATCCGTGGGCGGCCCATTGTTGGGGTCGTTGCTCTCGCCTAGTGTCCTGGAACTCGTCCGCCAACTTGGCGGCCTCTGGTAGGGTACGGGGTTTTCGGTCTCTGACCCAATTTTGCAGCTCTGTGGTCAGCCAGTCGAAGAACTGTTCCAGTACGACTAATTGGAACAGATCATCTAGGGTGGTGACCTGTGTCGCTTCGATCCATCCCTTGGCGGCTCGTTGTAGTCGGTGCGCCCATTCTGTGTGTGAATCTTTTGCTTGCTTTTGCTTTTTGCTCTGAATTTAAGTCGGTATGCCTCTGAGGTGATGGCATACCGGGATAGGATGGCTTGTTTGACCTTCTGATAGTCTCTGCTGTCCTTGTCTGGGACTGCGTGGTACGCCTCTTCTGCGCGGCCCGATAGCCTACCCGCCAGCAGGGGTACCTGGTCTGCTGGGCTGATGTCACGCAGCTGACACAGACTTTCAAAGACCTGTAGGTAGTCATCTACCTCTCCGTCTGCTTTGGTATGGTTTTTGAAGGCCAGTTGGTGATTTAGACTTTCCCCTGGGAAGGATCTGGGGATCCTTCTTGGGATGCCGGGTGGTTGGTTGTCGGGCCAGTAGGTACTTCTGCACATCCGCCATGATTCTTTCCACTGTTGCTTGGGATGGTGGTTCAGGTAAAAATGCCAACCTGCTCCTGAGTTCCTTTCCAAATTCAGTCTGATCCAGCTCCATTGGAGGTGCTGCAGCAGCTGCTCTGTCTCCATCCATGAGCTCGGCAATAAGGGTAGCCTTTGTCTTGTTGCTTGCTGTGGTTCCCCTTGCCTCTAGTAAATAACTGCCGAACGCTGCTTTGCTGTGCGGTTTGAATCCCGTCGCTGCCACCAATTGTAGCGGAGTAGTAGGGGTTAATCCACAGTATCTCCACTGGTAGTCAGGATAAAGCAGGTAAAACACAGGTAGCGTAATAACATTCCCTTCCTCCCAAGAACTAGATGACACATAGCTTGGAGGTCAACTGAGGCTTTAATCCAATGTCACACAATGGACTGGTGTTACAGGGGTTTTAATCAAGGGGACTGTAAGGGAAACTGACCCTGCAAGTTCTTTTCCCATCAGGCCATGCTGTACAGGAGAGATAATTGTGTAAGAATGTACTGATAATCACATTATCTCTCTGTACAGTTAAATATACAATTGTACATTAAAATCCATAACTTGTAAAATAGTGAGCAGAATTAGTCGATTGACCCTTTATTTCACAGCTGGGATCTAAGCACATCGTCTGGTGAATTACCGCTCAGATCCCTGCAGAAACAAACGAATGCCATGCAAAATACAACTTTAGGTGAACAGACATTGTACCTGGAGAAAATACGAAAAGCTTTAATCTACCAAAATAATTATTTGCACAAACAGCCTCGAAGTCCAGCGGTGTTCGGTAAGTCGAGTAGCCGATTTTAGTTCCAGGCACTCAACGACCAAGCACCGCTGTGCTTTCGCGAACAAAGATGGCTGCCGCCACGTGCTCGGTATGCGAACAGCGGCCACCCACGAAACCCATTTATAAACTGGAGATACATTGTTGCAGTACTTAATGGGAGACACATTCGGCAGTTTGTTTGTTTCACGAACAGTGTTTGAAAATCACTGTTCGTGGAACTCCAAGCGGAACGCTGGCGGCATTCGTATGCAACAAGCACACAAATGCTCTATACATATACATGTAATAAAAGGGGAAGTAAACGAAAAATGAAACATTTTACACACATACATTTCTTAAGTGGCTAGTTTTGCCACACTTACCATTTGATGTATTCTTTCTTCTAAAATCTTAATTTTTTTAGCCCCAAAAAAGGACAAATAAAAAACCATAATACCCGTCAAACTTAAAGGGACACGCCAGTGCCAGGAAAACAAATGGTTTTCCTGGCACTGCAGGTCCCCTCTCCCTCCCACCTCCCATCCCATGTTGCTGAAGGGATTAGAACCCCTTCAGTGACATACCTGAGACCAGCACCGATGTCCCTCGGTGCTGGTTTAGGGTCCGCCCACGCTCCCCCCCGGGGGGAGACCGGCGGGGGAGACGTAATGAGCATGCGCGGCAATGCCGCGCGCATGCATTAGACCTCTCCATAGGAAAGTATTGAAAATGCTTTCAATGCTTTCCTATGGGGATTTTAGTGACGCTGGAGGTCCTCACATAGCATGAGGATGTCCAGCGACGCTATAGCACAACCTGTGCTATAAACAAGGAAGTGCCCTCTAGTTGTTGTCTAGTAGACAGCCACTAGAGGAGGAGTTAACCCTGCAATGTAATTATTGCAGTTTATGAAAACTGCAATATTTACGGTTGCAGGGTTAAGGGTAGTGGGAGTTGGCACCCAGACCACTCAAATGGGCAAAAGTGGTCTGTGTGCCTGGAGTGTCCCAGTAAAATAAAATAAAAAACTAGAGCGCAAAAAAACTTGGGGTTTTCCTCCCTCCCCCTCATTATCCTTAATGGCCCCCACCCACCGCTCAGGGGTGGGGGACGGGGGGAGGACAGTAGGTGTCCCCCCCGTTGTGATTTATGACCCCCACCCACCGCTCAGAGGTGGGGGCCGGGGGGTAGGACAATAGGTCCCCCCTCTCATTATCCTTTTAGGGTACTAGGGCTTTTAGTTTTTTATAACAGTGAGCAGCCATAGGCTGCTCACTGTTTACTAGACATGCCCCTACTCGCGATATAGCGAGTATGGGCTGAATTTACTAATACTAAGTAATCTTTACTTAGTATTAGTAAATGTGGCTGAAAGACCAATTTAGGTCTTTCAGCCTTCTGGTAGATAGCTCCCTAATACCGTGCAGCCGCAGCACGAATAGGATCAGAGTTTCATTCATTTGAATGAAATTCCGATACGAACAAAGTCCCGAATTGCGTTCTAACACGAATGGACAAACTGTTCTCATTCTGTTCAGCAGTTTTGCCGGTGTTCTGTCTAAGTGACAAGACGTTCGGCAATACTGACAGGAAGCATCGTGGGAACAGGGAGGAAAGCTAAGGATTGTGGGAAAATTTCTCTGACCACCGGAAACGATGCACACTTTGCTCCTCCGCTGGTCATGGCTTTGTCTTAAGTTTTAAAGAAAACTAGAGCAGACAGGAAGAAATGAAGAACAGATCCTGAGAGAGGGAGAGAAGAGGAATCGATTGGGGAAAGGTAAGTTTGGCATGACAGTGCCGCTTTAATGTAATCTTATTGCCTCTTTGCTACTGTAAATGAACAAACCAAAAAACTTGTTTACATTAAAAAATATCATGTTTCATGATGTTTCATGGTGTGCTCGTACAGGTCTTATTGGGGACGTTAAATCATAGGGCCTCGACACTATTAAAAAATATTTTCAGCACAAAAAAAACCTGTTTAATGGCAAGCAATTCTAACTCTGTTTAATTAGTAGTAATTTTTATACCTCTCTATGTCCTCCATCAAACATACACACATGCAGAACTAATTGTGCAACTTTTAAAAGAGTGGATTTGTGCACACACACAGCTGTATGGAAAATGCTCACACAAGTTAATCTTTTTCGAGAACAAAGCAAAATGTATTGAAAGAGCCTTTTGCACCATACTATTGTTTGGTGGGATTAAACTATTTTATTTGTTTATTTTATACATTCCAAAAGGTCCATAGTGCAACGATTGGCTGAAAAAGGCCTACTTGGTTTTACTTGTGATATTTCAAACACTGCCGAGTCTGCCATAATTATTTACTAAAGTGAGAATTAAAAGGGAATTTCAAATTCAAGGTCAAACTAGTTGGAATGGAAAATAAATCTTTAAATCAGCTATGATTTCAGTTCGGCTACTCTTGCTTTGCATTTGAATTTCTCCTTGAATTCTCACTTTAGTGGATAACCCTGATAAACTCTTGAATTCTAACACAGCATGGATGTTTTCAGTAGCTCTTCATTGACTAAAGATTTCTAGAATCAAATGTGACCAAGAAAGTGGAACTACTGTCAACTGTTCTTGTTTCCTAGGGGATCGGTTTGAGCATGGCATGAACAATACAAATCAACTACAATACCAGGGTATTCTTGCACACTGAATGAAGGCCCCAAGCTGTCGCACAAAATCTCCAAGCTATGCACGTGTATGCATCTAGTTCCGTGCTGACAGTGCTGCTGAATCTCTCTGTTCATGTGAGCTGACCAGCCTGCTCTGTCTTCTAAATTGAAAATACTGCTGCACACTGAACAGCTCAATAAAGCCCTTTCTGAAACCCATTAACCGTACTCTTCAGGATCTCAACTGTCCGTTCTGTTAAACGGTTTCATTGTATGTAAACATCAACAAGAATACAGAATGCCAGGTAAGATCATTTATCGCTTCATACTGTGCAAGTATTTAGCTAATCTGCTTCTAGGTTTGTGAAATGCACTTTAAATAAAGCTTGAAAATCTAATTTATAGTTCAGATTACCTCAGGGATTTTTGGATGGAATGACTCATACTGGGCAGCAGGAATTCTGATGAATAAGGCTGACAATATCTTTATGGAATGGTGGTAATAGATATTATTTTCCAGTATGTGACAGGAAACATGAAGATGCAATTTTAAGCATTCATCTACGAAACAAAGACAAAGGTTGTCTTGGGCCCTTGGCAATCTTCTGTGTTTGTGTGTATTTTTATTAAAAAAAAATGTATTATTATTATTTATTTTTTTATTATTATTATTTATTTATTTTTACATACATACTTGAATAGTGAACCAAAAGTAGGTATCCAATTGAATCCATGAAATTCATAACAACAGATTATATGGGTACACAGGTGGTATAGCTGCCCATTCGTCTTGGCAAAATGTCTCCAGGTCAGGCAAAGTCTTTGATCATCTTGCATGAACCGCACGTTTGAGATCTCTCCATAATGTCTCGATGTCACATTCGCTGACGGTACTCACTACAGATCAGTCTGCATCGGTTATAGTGCCTGTGGATGCTGCACCCCAGTCTGCATCCTCTGTACCTCAATTCACAGCCAGGAAACTTAGAGTGATTGCTCCGCCATTCCAAGTTGGCCGCCGCTGCAGGAGGAGACTGGTCTTCAGGTCAGAGGTTGGAGGAAGTGTGGCTGAGGGGCGGAGCCAGGACAATGATGCATCCAAGATGGGTCTGAGTCCCACAGTCTGTCACATTGACCTGAGGTAACCCCTTCAACAGGTGAGACCTGGTTATGTGATTGAGACACTCCTTTATAATCAGAGCACAGCTTTCAGTCAGTGCTTGGTTGTTTTTTTGCCTGTCTCAGAACTCCTAGCATTTGTTTCCCTGTGTTTCCTGTCCTTGCTGGTTTCCTGACTTTGCATGCTCTCTGGATTTTTCTGATTACCGCCCGCCCTAATCTCTGGCCCGTCTGACTCTGATTTCTGCCTGACCCTTCTTCAGATACCTTGGCTTGGATTTTTTTCTGTTATTTTATTAAAGCCCCCTGTGCCATCACTGAACCAACAGACTGCTGTTCTCAAACTCATGCTCTCTGTGTATCATGCTTGCAAGGGAGAACTGTTACTGCACCTAAGTTCCAGGACTGAACATGACCACAGTGGTTTGTTACAATCGATGATATTAAGGTCAGGAGACTATGATGGTCACTCTAGAACCTTCACCTTTTTGTGCTGTAACCACTGGAGTGTAAACTTGGTCTCGTGCTTAGGGTCATACACTGTCATACTGAAAAGTCCAAGAGCGTCCCATGTGCAGCCTTCTTGCGGAAGAATGCAAATTGTCTGCCAATATTTTCTGATAACATGCTACATTCATCTTGCCATCACTTTTTATAAGATTCCCCATGCCTTAAGAGCACACACCCTAAAAAACATCAGTGAGCCAAAACAATGCTTCACAGTGGAGATGGTATTCTTTTCAGTATAGGCCTTGTTGACAACTCTCCAAACATAGCGCTTATGGTTGTGACCATAAAGCTCTATTTTGGTTTTATCACTCCAAATTACAGTGTGCCAGTCAGAAGCTGTGATGTGTGTCAAAGTGTTGTCGGGCATATTGTAACCCGGATTTTTTGTGGCATTGGCGCAGTGAAGGTTTCTTTCTGGCAACTCGATCATTTTTGTTCAAGTATCATCGTATTGTGCTCCTTGAAACAACCAGAGCAGCCTGTATTTCTCCTGAGGTTACCTGTGGGTTCTTTGTATCCCAAACAATTCTTTGGGCAGTTGTGGCTGAAATCTTTCTTGGTCTACCTGACCTTGGCTTGGTATCAAGAGATTCCTGAATTTTTCACTTCTTAATAAATGATTGAACATCTTTTTATATCATTTTCCATCCTTATAAAGTTCCATTACCTTGCTCTGCAGGTCTTTTTTGACAGTTCTTTTCTGCTCCCCATGGCTCAGTATCTAGCCCTCTCAGTGCATCCATGTGAGAGCTAACAAACTCATTGACTATTTATACACAGACACTAATTGCAATATAAAAAGCCACGGTTGTGGGAATTTAACATTTAATTGCCATTTTAACCTCTGTGTGTCACCTTGTGTGTCTGTAACAAGGCCAAACATCCAAGGGTAAGTAAACTTTTGATCAGGGCTATTTGGGTGATTTCTGTTATCATGATTTAAAAAGGAGCAAAACAACTATGTGATAATAAATGATTTCATATGATCACTACCCTTCAATAAAATATTTTCTTTGCAGGATCAGTCATATTCTCATAATCAATGCCAAAATTTTAAAATTTCTGCCAGGGTATGCAAACTTTTTTAGCACAACTGTGTGTGTCTGTGTGTGTGTGTCTCTGTGTGTGTGTGTGTGTGTATATATATATATATATATATATATATATATATATATATATATATATATATATATATATATATATATATTAGATATAGATATACACTGCACATGTGTATGTTGCCTTTACTTGTTATATTTCAAACACTACCAGATCAGACAGGATTATTTACTTAAAGGACCACTATAGTGCCAGGAAAACATACTCGTTTTCCTGGCACTATAGTGCCCTGAGGGTGCCCGGGTGCCCGCCGGGCTGGATGGCAAGGAAAGGGGTTAGACTTACCTTTTTTCCAGCGCCGGGCCGGGAGCTCTCCTCCTCCTCTCCGCCTCCGATCCTCCTCTTCGGCTGAATGCGCATGCGCGGCAGGAGCTGCGCGCGCATTCAGCCAGTCATAATGCTTTCTCTGAAACTGCTATGTTTATAAAAAAAAAAAAAAAAAGGGTTAATCCTAGAGGGACCTGGCACCCAGACCACTTCAAAAAACTGAAGTGGTCTGGGTGCCTAGAGTGGTCCTTTAAGTAAGGATTCAAAGTGAAATTCCAAGTTAAGATCTAAATAATTGACATCTGTCTGGAAAATATCCAGCCATGTAATATGTAAAATAGAGACATTTTTTGAAAAAGATTCAAGAAGCATTGTATATGGGAGAATGATGCCTCAGTCCCCTTCAAAGAAGGCACTTTGGGACCTCACACATTTCTCCCAGCATCTCTTCTACTGATTACAAAACTCTGCAAAATCCTTTGTTGGAATGGCCATCAGTTGCTTTGTCGTATTTACCTAAATCTTATTGACGGTCTGAAATCTCTTTCTTTTCAAAGGTAATTTTAGATTTGGAAAAAAAATTCCAGAAGTCTCATGGCACCAAATCTTTCAACAGATTCTCCACCATCTTTAAAGCATTTGTGCCACATTTTTATTAGCTCTGCAATAATTCATTGTCCCCAAAAGTGTTCTGGATCATCAGAATAGTTTTTGCGGAAGAATGTTCAAGCTTACGATTTGATGCAGATTTGTTGCTGTACTCACTCAGTAATTTTGAATACGACAGCAACAAAATACACATGCTCACGGGTGCAGAGTCAACTGAGGACCGGAGCGGACACTCTTGTCAGAGCTCTATACCTAGCCCAGCCTTAAAGTTAAATAATTGGTGGAATTTATGCACTCACCCACCCACAAATCCTGTTAATGGGGCAAAAAAACAAAATGGCAAAGCCAGACAAGGTCCCTACAAACAGGAATATTGGAGACTTCCTACGGGACTCACAAAAGCATACCTGGGACAAAATGGCCCTGGGGAAAGAGGACTCCTCTTACACCTCGGAAGACTGGAGCAGAAGTTGTCAATCTCCAAAGATAACAGCTCTTGACCTCAGAGGGTGGATGCACTAAAGGACCTGAAGCGCAGGTATTAGCTGAAGATTCGGGGTATCCCGGAAACAGTGGGTCTCCCCAATCTGCCACATCATCTGTTCAGCTTTTATTTGCAAACTTACTACCACCTAAACAGACGAAGCAAGTGAAACTGCATGGAATGTTCAGGCTGCCGAAACCAGAAAACGCAACAACTACCGCAACCGCTCACAGCTGAAGGTGTTCCCAGAACTAATCAGAAATTCACTCACCTAGCGCAAATCTCTACAACCCCTCCTGCAGCACCTCCGTGCTAAAGACATTCCCTAATTCCCTACAGATGGGACGCACCTAAACAGTTGCTGTTCATTCACTCGGGGACTGTGCATAGAGCTCGGAACTACCCAGAACTAGGGAATCACCTATACAACCTTGGCATAATGGAGCCCCAGGTGATGGACATAGCGGACCTCTCTCGCTTGGATCTCTTTGCAGTCAAGTAATTCACTCCCTGTGCCTCAAAGTGCATAGTACCTGCTGGAGAGCCGACCTGAGGTGGTACAACATGAAGCAAGAAGTATCCTGTCTCCCACTATGGGAACACCCATTTTCCACCATTAAGCACAGTTGAAATTTTTTTTTATTTTATTTAGTTTTCATTCTTTTAATTTACTTTTAAACTCATTTGCTTATGTTATAGATCTTGACAGGTTTATAGACTGTATATTCTAGTTAACACGCATAGTATATGTGCAGTAGGACAGAGAAGTCTACTGCCTGCATCAAGTCCAATGCATAATACTATCTACCTGTAGACCCCTACCCCCTCCATCTACTTAATAGAGCATGCCTTTTTGGTAGTTCAGGTTATAACGGAAGGCAGTACATCCCCGGGAGTGCATAATATTTGCTGTGTTAGCTTCCTACTAGGATTGTTACCATATGCCTACTGGAGAATACTCGTTGATATTGTTCTTAATTGCATTACTCTTGAATACATAAAAATTTTATGTGACATCCCTGAAACATGTACTTACCTCTGCACTCAAAAATAAAGATTTATTTTTTTAAAGTACACATGCTCACTCAATAGCGTCTAGCACCCGCACTGACTAGAACAGTCAAGTTGTCATCGTTCATACATTCACATTCAAGTCCACTCTCCTTGGCTGCCAGGTTACATCAATATCGTTCTTACTCTTCTCATTATATTAACAGTAGATGGACTTTTGACAGACAGACCTCAGGACTGCTCAGGACTTTCCTCAGGACAGCAGGGACTGAAACGTCAATCATCTGTAGCACTACAAGCACTTTGTGGAAGTGTTTTTTATTAAGATAAAGAAATAAATGCTAAGTTTTAACATGGAGACCGTGAATGCAGACTACCTTTTGGCATATTTTTTTTATATACATCTGACTTAGGTCTGACACCTGGCAATAAACTGTTGCAATCTATTGGAGCATGAGCGCAAAAGACATTTATTGTTTTATATATATACAGTGGGACCTCGCTTTACAAACGCCTCGGTTAACATAATTTTTGGTTTACAAATGAAAATCCATTGAAAATCCAAATTATTATTTTTATAATTTACAAAGTAGAAAGAATATGTTAGAGATCTTGTCATTTCATCCTCATCAAAAAAGTCATTTTAACATTATTAATTAATTCATTATAATATTTATTTAAAGAAACATTCATTATAGTAAGCTTGCATAATTAAAAAGACATCCATTATGATAAAATAGCATAATTTTGATATTTTAATAACATCAAACATTCTATAAAATTATTGGGGAATACTGGAAGGTTCTTAATTTCAAATAATACTGGGATATTTCAAATTAGGCTAAAAATGATAAGTTCCTTAATATTTAAAATTCCAAAAATACATAATTGCTTAACTATAAAATAGTAAGGATATCAAGACTATATAGGTTAATAAAAAAGGAGAATGTGCATACTTTTAAAAATTTATTTATATTTTGAACCTAATATGCATAAAAGGAATATAATAAAATAAACCTAATATAAAGTAAAATAGGTATTTATATAGTAAAATAGGTATTTGTATAGTAATACATGAACATGACAAGTAGGGATTTTTTAAATATGGAAACTACTTAAAAGAATAAAGTTGGTACTATTAGGTACAAAATATGCAATAGAAAATAAGACAATCCATTAGAAATTAAATGAGAAAATGGCACATTTCAAAGTCTGCATTTAAACCATTTGGAATGAGACTATTAAGTTTAAATATCCATTCCATTTCTATTTTACTTAACTTTTGGTTAAAATTTCCTCCTCTGCAATCTTTAGTTATTTTATTAATTCCTAAAAAAATTGTACCTTTTACTTCGCAATCATGATGATTTTTATAATGCAGAGACACACTGTGTTTTTCAAATCCCTTACTTATATTGCGGCCATGTTGCATGTTGAATTTTTCCTCCAAACTAAGGGGACGGCCATGGGGACCAAGTTTGCCCCCAGTTATGCAAATCTTTTTATGGCCCATTGGGAAAACGCATTTATATATGGGCAGCATGACTGGGTGGAAAACTTGGTCACCTATGGCCGGTATATAGATGACATCTTCTTTATATGGGAAGGGAGGGAGGAAGACTTATCCTCCTTTTTAAACTATATAGATACCAATACATGGGGGATTCATTTAACATGTAACTGGAGCAAGCAAGAAATAATTTTTTTAGACTTATGTATATATATATATATATCGAAAACAATTTTATCAAAACTAAAAATCACTTTAAAGCAGTGGAAGCAAATAGCTGCCATTTTTCACCGTGGTTAGAAAATGCCCCTAAGGGGCAATTCCTGAGGATAAGGAGAAACTGCACTGATATAGGGACATTTGATGTACAGTCTACTAAAATTAAAAAAGACATCTTAGAAAAGGGATATGAAGAAGAAAAATTGGAAAAATCAAGACTAGAAATTAAAGAAATAGAAAGGAAAGATCTTATACAGTATAAAGAGAAAAAGAATGATGAAATCAATAAAATCCCATTTATATGCACTTTCAGCTCCGATAATTATAAAGTAAGGAAAACTGTATCGAAATATTGACCAATTTTACTTCAAGACCCTACTCTCAAAACCTTTCTCCCTGATAAACCTCATTTCATACATAGGGGAATTAATAATTTAAAACATTCCCTAACATCGAGTTACATAAAAGAAAAATCTAAAAACAATACTAAGTTTTTTAACACAGAAAAGGGGTTCCATGGATGCGGACAATGTCTAGCCTGTAAAAGAACTAATAATAAAAAAAGACAAGTTAAAAACTTTAAGTCGAATGTTGGTATAGAATATCAAATTAAAGAATTTATTACCTGTTATTCTAAGAATTTAATCTACCTTATACAATGTCCTTGCGGCCTAAATTGTATAGGAAAAACTACTAAACCATTGCATATAAGGATAGAAGAACATGGCCGCAATATAAGTAAGGGATTTGAAAAACACAATGTGTCTCTGCATTATAAAAATCATCATGATTGCGAAGTAAAAGGTACAATTTTTTTAAGAATTAATAAAATAACTAAAGATTGGAGAGGAGGAAATTTTAACCAAAAGTTAAGTAAAATAGAAATCGAATGGATATTTAATGGAGAAATAAAGTAAACAGACTGCAGGTCAGGAGTCCGGATACAAGTCAAGGGCTCATGAGCTGCACCACTGTAACCACCTAATAGGGAGCTCCAATGAGGGGGTAACTCTCTAAAATATGTAGGTAATAGGAGTAGGTGATTTGTAGAGTCCCACAAAGGGAAACCAACATCAAGAGCGCTCCACTGTATAAAAAATGAGGAAGGATCAATCTAAGGATAAAAAGGGATATGCAAACAAAAAGTATAACTTGAAAAAAGGGAGATCTACTAAACGGTGCCCAGGGGATCAGTTGTCTGGAGTACTAGCTAGCATCTAAGTTCCAGTTCCCCTAGTGTCCGACTGACAGAAAGGTAGTGTAAACGCGGTTAGGGAGAGAGAAGAAGCACAGGGTCCCCAGAGAACAAGGGACCGGGTAATCAGGTCTAAACGCAGATGAAAAGCCTCACACAAAAAAATAAATAATGAAATAAATTCAATTCACCCTAAAAGTTACCTCGACACCGTAGTCTAACCACTTGTGTCTACCTGAACCAACTCTCCCTACTAAAGTTATAAATAAATAAACACCTAAAAATCAATAACCATAGTGGTAACAAAAATAAAAAAGTGCTACCAAGTGCAAAGATTAAAGAAAAAGAAAACGCTCGACGTGCGTTTCGGCATGTTCAAAATGCCGTCTTCAGGTGCCTTTGTAAAGGTACAATTTTTTTAGGAATTAATAAAATAACTAAAGATTGGAGAGGAGGAAATTTTAACCAAAAGTTAAGTAAAATAGAAATGGAATGGATATTTAAACTTAATAGTCTCATTCCAAATGGTGCAGACTTTGAAATGTGCCATTTTCTCATTTAATTTCTAATGGATTGTCTTGTTTTCTATTGCATATTTTGTACATAATAGTACCAACTTTATCCTTTTAAGTAGTTTCCATATTTAAAAAATCCCTACTTGTCATGTTCATGTATTACAAATACCTATTTTACTATATAAATACCTATTTTACTTTATATTAGGTTTATTTTATTATATTCCTTTTATGCATATTAGGTTCAAAATATAAATACATTTTTAAAAGTATGCACATTCTCCTTTTTTATTAGCCTATATAGTCTTGATATCCTTACTATTTTATAGTTAAGCAATTATGGATTTTTGGAATTTTAAATATTAAGGAACTTATCATTTTTAGCCTAATTTGAAATATCCCAGTATTATTTGAAATTAAGAACCTTCCAGTATTCCCCAATAATTTTATAGAATGTTTGATGTTATTAAAATATCAAAATTATGCTATTTTATCATAATGGATGTCTTTTTAATTATGCAAGCTTACTATAATGAATGTTTCTTTAAATAAATATTATAATGAATTAATTAATAATGTTAAAATGACTTTTTTGATGAGGATGAAATGACAAGATCTCTAACATATTCTTTCTGCTTTGTAAATTGTAAAAATATCGCTGAGTAATTAAGGACAGACAGAACGTTGAAATCCACAGTGGAACGCACTGTGGAACGCACAGCCCTGAAAAAGCCGAAACCGGAAGTGACATATCGGCTTGTAATAAGGAAGTAAACAGACTCAAAGGAGGCTTGAAACACAGGGTATCTCCGTTGTTATGGAGAATACCCGCGAAAATTCAAGCACATACAGCTGAATATACAATCAAGAAGGGGATTTAAAGCAGGAAAGAGGTCCACAGGAGCAACACAGATTTTTCCAGCTGAAGAAGCCTTTTGGTGAAACGCGTTCTGGAGGAAAAGTGAGCACAGAGACTTTTTGGGACTTTATTGGACTTTTAGCCGAATAAGTGTTATGTTATATATTTTTTTATAAGATTTTTTACTTCTGTTGAATAAATTTTAATATAGTCAATAAATAATATTATTTGATACACTTATGGCTTTTTTCCTGCTAATATAAAGAAGGAATGTGGTCCTTAACCACATATGCGCATTGAAGTGAGCCTAAACATCGGCTCTGGGTTTGTGAGTACCTAATTCACTATTTTATATGTACTATTTATAATACAGATGATACTGGGCTATATACCCCCTTCTATACTCATATAGGATTGGATTGCAGAAATACGAAGAAGGGAGAGGGTCGCCTACACGGACCCTAAGGCGCAATAATCTGAGCTAGATTTAATAGCTCAGAAAAGTGTGAGTTGCCAATTGGCATTCTTTTAAAAAATCCTTTTTCCTTTTAAAAAATAGTTTGCACTATGTTGTTTATCTCTTTTTGTTTTGTTTAAAGGTTAATACGAAATTATTGACAACGCAAAAAGAAATTATTATTTAAAGGTATACTTGTATTTATATTCTTCCATATCTATTTCATTTTACATATAAGCGCTTCACCGGTACTCCTTTCTATTTCTTACCACCTTTGTTTAAATGAATGGTTCCTGTCCAACTTTTGTAGTTGTGATTTGCGTATTTACATCCTTGAGTTCATCTATGCCATACACTGACAAGGATGTGAAATTTATATTGCCTGATACCCTGGACATGTAGTTAACTTTTAGCCCTGCTGTAAGCCAGGGTAGGAAGCAAAAGGCTTTACTTTTGGTGGGTGCAGACCTCGGTAAATGCCCTCTCACTTTCATGTGTTCTCCAATGAGTCAGAGCCACCAGGATTCTAAGCATCCACTCTGACTCACTGAATGCTGCGAAGACCATGAAGGAGTGATTACTGTGGAATACACCTACCGGATGTGCAGGTCTCACTCTCTCACACTAAACCATCAGGGATCCTGGACTCCCACTATACCACTAGGGATCCAAAGTCCCCAGTGGACCACCAGGCTTTCAGGACCCCCACTGGACCGTCAGGAATCCAGACAAGGAAAGGGTAAGATAGGTGCAGGTGCTAGCATAGAAAATCAGGAGAAGTAGCTGCTAGAATGCAAAATCAGGAAATCAAAGTAGTCAAAGTAAATATGCTAGTTACAGTATGCTAAATTATGTCATAACGATTCAGAAAATTGTCTAAACACCTACACACTTATTAAACTTTAACAGGTTAGACATGGGGTGGGCGATGAGTACTTCAGAAAAATATTAATATTATTTAAAATAAAAAATCAGTTTAAGAAAAAGAAGAAACATTTATTCTTCATTCCATTTTGTTACTTTTGATCTCCCCACTGGCCCATAAAGGGACATAGTTACTTTTTGGACTGAGCCTGGCTCAAACAAGTGACTAATGGATCACTGAGCCACCTGGGGAGTTCTTTTGATGCCCACTGGGCATATGCACAGTCTGAGCATGCTCCGATGGCAACAATAACCTAAACCAAGTATTTTCGGTAGCTGTGGATTAAACCTGCACAATGCTGAGGAAGAACTTTTGGCCACTCTTCCTTACACCACTACCTCAGCTCAGCCATATTCTTAGGATGTGAACAGCTCTCTCTATTCTTAGGATGTGGTGTGAAAAGCTTTCTTGAGGTCATTACACAGCATCTCTAAGGGTTTATGGTCTGGGCTATGACTGGGCCACTCCAAAAGGTAAATGTTTTATTTGTTTCATTCTGTAGTAGATTTACTTCAATATTTATCATTGCCTGCTGCATCACCTAACTTCTACTGAACTTCAGTTGGTGCACAACCACAATGAAATTATCCTGTTGGATATCTTGATAAACTTGGGAATTTGTTTTTCCCTTACTGATGGCAAAAGGTCCAGGCCCTGTAGCAGCAAAGCAGCCTCAAATCATGCGACTCTAGGGTTCTTTTTTGCATCATTGAGAATTATGCAATGTGCGCCTTCATCTTGGCTGGACGACCACTTCTAGGGAGATTAGCCACGTTACTAAATCATCTTCATTTATAGACAATTTGCCTAACAGTGGGCAGATAAATAAAAAGTTCTTTGAGAAAACGTTTAAAATAATTTCTAGTTTTATGCAACGCAACAATTCTTGATCACAGGTATTGTGAGAGCTCTTTTTCTTGCGAGGCATGGTTCACATCAATATATGCTTTTTGTAAAAATCAAACAAAAATGTGTGAGTGTTTTTCTAAAAGTCAAATCAAAGTAGCTCTAAACCACACCTCCAATCTTGTTTCATTAATTGGACAGCAAGTTTGCCATTTTCGAACTCGAATTAGCTTTTGTTGAAGTCATTAGCATAGTGTTCAACATACTTTTTGCAACCTATATAGTGATTATTTGAATGATATATTCTGTATGTATAATAACAGTACAATAATTTGTGTATTACTTAAATCATTGTGTTTGTTGATTACTGTTAGCTTAGATGAACATCAAACCAAATTTTAAGACAAATTTATACATAAATGCAATAATTTCTAAAATCATTTCACATACTTTTCTTGTCAGTGTAGTTGATGTGAAGCACAGTTATGGGTAAGCAAAAATAACTTATTACGGTTATTGAACAATTTATTTTCATTCTAGGCAAAAATGTTCTAATAGTGTATGCGCACCAGGAGCCAAAGTCTATGAATGGATCTCTGAAAAACATTGCGGTAGATGTATTACAGAAGCAAGGATGCAGCATCATCATATCAGATCTCTATTCCATGAATTTCAATGCAGCAGCAACCCGAAATGACATTACAGGTACAATCCTGAAACTCTCTACTTTATGAATGACTGTGAGAGATGATTGGAGAATGGAGACACATCAAGTGATGTGTGTGTGTGCCTGTGTGTACCTGCCAGTGCCTATCTGAGTGCCTATCTGAGTATGTGTGTCTGTGCTACAAAATAGAGGTTTATGGCCACAACACCTCTTAGGTCAGTATCTAAGCGAAGAGACGGTAGGAAAAAAAACAAAAAAAAAAAGATAAAAAACAATATTAGTGATCTAAAAACATGGAAAGCTAGTAGAGGTGGATATATGGAGAATAAAAACACAATGATCCGATTGCAGGGACTATACCTGTGAATAACAGGAAAAAAAATTACTTGTGTAACATGGAAGCAGAGACCATAACTGATATGTTATTAAGTAATACCAAAATAATACAAAAAACGTATTATATTAGTATATATTATATTATATAACATATATTATTAATATATCTCAGTGGAAGCAGGAAAAATCCCTATCTATATTAAGGCCATTAGGGTAACGATTATCAAGTTTGTAACTCCAGAACAACTCACATTGTTAAGTCTCCTGTTCATGTCTCCCCCTCGTGCAGGTGTTTTACATGTTCAATGGCCATGCACCACAATTGGGCCACTTAGTGCCTATGTGTGCCTCAAACTGTGTCGCAACTGCTGAGAGCTGATTACAATAAGAGTGTATTGCTCTTGTGCTTTCCTACCATCACTGAGAGAGCACAACTGGTTTTCCCTTTGTAGGCTAAGCCATATGGGCATTAGCATATATTCCACATCCGTAGTTTCACAGTTTAACCTGTCACGGAGGGAATATTTTTTGCCTGTCCTTGGGTGGAAGATGTTTGCCGAATCTCTACATACCCTTAATGTTAAAAACACAATTCCCAGTGCACTGTGAAATAAAGGGTATACCTGCCTGCACTAAGGATTCTGATTCTCTTGTAAGATTTAAAACTGTATTTTTTATTTTGTGCACTGTTCCTTAATCTGTATTTCAGACCTGAAATACAGGCACGTTTTCTGAGCACAAGAGATACAGAAAACCCAGAAAATAGTTTTGTTCTTCATTTTGCCTCGTCAGTAAGGGTTAGTAGATATCCCCAATGCATAGTGAGCAAGGAGTCCATGTCTGGATTACCATTTTTACTTAGGTATACCCTAGTCATTTCTGTATACATTAGCCAAAAAAACAAGAGTTAGAAGAAACTGAGCCAGTCTCATATAAGACTAATCCCACCCACAAGGGCAGTCCATAACTGAAATACCAGCAGGTACCAAAGACATAGTGGAGACATAACCGAAGGTTTGCAAACATTGGAGAAGATGGGATACACACTAGATGATTGGGATACAGAAGGTGAGTGGGGATGAAAACACAGAGTATGTCATATAAGGAAACATGGACAAAGCCCATTTCTAATTCAGAACAAAGAAAAATGCTGAACTGGATCTCACGGAACATGAACCATTATTGTCTGGCTCTTTACTTGTCTGTGTCACTGAGGCCTTGCTACTCCATCATTAACTTTGGTTGATTTTTTTCCATTTATTGTGTTGAAATTGTGAATTAAAAGAGCTGCATGTTCAATAGTAGAACAGTCCAGATTTCAAGGATCCTGTATTTAGTTCCCTGGTGTCCCTGATTGGAACTGTCTCCAGGCAGCACAGCACTCACTGTGCAGAAGGCATTAGGCACATATAGAGAGCACTTTAAAAGTGTGGTCCTCTATGTAGGTTCCTGGCCTGGAGTACATGTTATCCTAATTCTGCTTTATCTTTGTAGGAGAACTATGCAATCCACAGCACTTCCGCTATGGAACAGAGACAATGGAAGCATTCAAGAAAGGTGTTTTGTGTGAAGATATACTCAAAGAACAGGAAAAAGTTAAAGTAGCCGACTTAATTATATTTCAGGTAATCAGCTTAAAATTGTTAATTGCAACAAAACAAGGAAATATGAGAACTCTGAGAACTGCCCATCGATAAATCATCACTCACTTGTGCCATTACAGAGAGAACCAGTTCCAAGGCATATTAGATTAATCCCATTAAAAATGTTAATTGCATGAACCACAGCCAGTTGAATACAAAACTGTGCCTCTGCATTTCAATTTACCTGCTTTATGACTAGTCATATTTACGACCAGCTCTCTAACGTGTGGATTCGAGGAATCATTAGAAAGCTGGTTTATCTTTGGGGAATTTTTCCCAAACATAGATTTCAGGGATTCCCTGCGCTAGTGAGCTAATCTATGTTTGGAGAATTTTCCCCCGAACATAGATTCATGGGATCTTCCCCAAACATAGACCTGTTCTCTAGTGCATGCACTTTAGCACATCCTCGCTTACTGACCAATTAGTTTTACGACTGAGTCGTAAGAACGGAACCAAGTCGGTTTTTGGAATGTCTGTGTGGGTCAACTGGAAATTTTTATATATATATAAATATATATATATCTTCCAACAATGGACAAGAATAAATATATTCTATATATATTTTCCAACAATGGACAAGAATAAAGGGGAGCCTAACATTACCTTTAACCACTGGTGCTGTCTCCATACTGAGTTTTTATTATCTGCAGTTTTTGACTGGATTTGGTTGACTTAACTTCTAGACTTTCTAGGAGGGTGTATAAGTGATGTTGTGTGGGAGGAGTTCCTAAAAGAAATGTCATGAGCTGTTCAACACCTTAAAAGAAAATATCTCAGGCACTTGCTGTTATAAATTTAAGCAGATTTAATGGACAGCGCAACGTTTCGACATGTACCCAGTTCTTTATCAAGCTTGACTGAGTCCCTGAGACCCATCCTCAGTCAGCACCCTGTAATTTTTATGATTGAGTGCAACCCTCTTTTCTCTTGTGATACCTGTTCAACACCTGAAACCTATGTCTAAATTGTAAGTTATTTCAAGGAGGGTCCTCAGCAACCTATTGCTTCTGTTATAATTTGTGATTGTCTCATTTATTGTTAACTGTCCCCCTTTATAACATCGCAAAGTGCTGCTGAATATGTTGACACTATATAAAAAAAAATAATAATAAATATATGTATTTTGGAAACAACATCAACACCCTAGAGGTCTGAGTCCTTCCTTTAAAGGAACACTATGTATTCCTGACCCTATAGTGTTTAATCCACCATTTAGGTGGTATGCCCTCCTTAGCCCCCTTAAAAATGTTAAAACTCACCTTATTTCCAGCGCTGCATGAGTCCGCTGATGCTGGCCCTGCATGAGTCCGCTGACGCTGATCCGCCTAATTGATGACATCATCAGAAGTTCAGATTTGTGGAAAGCATTGGATTGGCTGAAATCGGCAAGGAGGCAGGGTTGGGGTGGGGTCAAACAGCACCTCCTCATAGAGATGCAGAGCTTGGAGAAGCTGAAAGGCAGTGCTCCCTACCGTGCAGCAGAGAGTGGCCACTTGGAGGTGTCCCTAGGGGGCCACTTGGAGGTGTCCCTAGGGGGCAATGTAAACACTGCCTTTTCTCTGAAAAGGCAGTGTATGCATGCAAATGCCTGAAGGCATGATTATACTCACCAGAACAGTTCCATTAAGCTGTAGCTTGTAAGCTGTAGCTGTAGTTGTTATGGTGACTAGAGTGTCCCTTTAAATCTTTTACTCAATGACAGCCCTATAAGACAGGGTAAAACACAGGCCTGTCTTTTAGATTGCCCAGAATCTTATGGCCCAATGCCAAACCAATGGAAAGTGTTAAAAAAAATCTAGTTAGAGCAGACTAAGCATGTCTGAGGGGTATATACCTAGAAAATAATGATTTTTTTTCTAAAAAAATAAAAAATTTCCCAAAATCTTGACATAATTAGTTGCTCTGCAGTATCTCCAGCCATGACGAATCAATCAACACTCAAAAGACACAGATGTGTCATTAGTCTTTACTAAGAACATTGGATTATTTTTTTCAACAAAAATTGGGAGGGTGCTGCGCCTCCTGCCCCTTTGGAACCTCCTCCACTGCTTTTAACAGAGTTCAGTAGGAAATTAAAGGCACATACTTTTAAATGAGCAAATAACACATTGCAAGCAAATATAGACTTGAAAAAGCTAAATTGCTTCTTATCACCATTAGTGAAACTGCTGTATAAACTGTATGGTGCCCCCCATTATTACACAGATCAGTCAGCCTAATGCTACATCACAGTAATTTCTGTTAAAGGGATACTATAGTGCCAGGTATACAAAACTGTATTCCTGGCACTATCACTCCCCCTGTTTTCCCACTCCCTCGCGCCCCTTCCCTCCCTGGTGAATAAAGGGCTAAAAACCCTTTATTTACTTACCTGATCCCAGCACCAATATCCCTCGACGGTAGGTCAACGCACCCCCTCGGATATCCCACAATGAGTGGGCGCTATTGCACATGCACAGCAAATGCCGCACGCATTATACCTTCCTGTAGGAAAGCATTGAATCAATGCTTTCCTGTGGGAAAAATCTTACGCTGGATGCCCTCATGTAGAGCGTCAGATACTGGAGCAAAGGTCCGTTTTGATCCAAGAAGCACCCCCCTAGTGGCTGTCTGGCAAAAGGGACACAGCACACAGACCACTTCAATGAGCTGAAGTGGTCTGGGTGCCTATAATGTCCCCTTAAAACACACATGATACTATATTATATAAAATGTAATAATCACTTCTGTGAGCCTTCCCTAATTTTCTTATCTTTACTTTTTCCACCAGTGGCACTGTACTGTTTTAATGTTGGCAGTCTTTGGTTTTGGCTGCAGATTGGCAGTCCTAGGTGATTTGGCTGTAATGTTGTCACTGTTCAAAAATGTTCAGCTTAACATATCATCCTGGCATGCTGTTAGTTATATCCTGCTTTGTTTTTGTTTTTTTATAACATAAATCTGAATTTACTTTATTGCAGTTCCCTTTGTATTGGTACAGCTTTCCTGCCATAATGAAGGGCTGGATAGATCGAGTATTTGTACAGGGCTTTGCCTTTGATTTTCCAGGTTGTTATGATACAGGATTACTGAAGGTATTTATGCATACATTATACATTGAAAAATTTTATTATAAATACTATAAATTAAGAAAATAAAAAGCATTATTCCCACAATTTCATTCTGTCTGAAGACACTGCAATGTCAGTGTATAACAGATTTCTTTTATAAATGTGAAAGGATAACCTTTTATTTAGGGCAAGCTTTTTGCATCTGTCTGCAAACCATAACCACTACAGCCCAGTTATATACCATATCATACCATTTTTAAATGGTTGAACTAAAACAAGGGTTCCTTTAGGTACCCAGAGATTACTCGTTCATTTGTTGTACTAAAGGGTTAATACAACTACCATCGCCCCTCCTGCTTTTAGAACTAGTGTGGTGGTAGGAATGTGTATCGCAGAATATCTGCTTGAAAAGCTGCACATACTGAGATAAATGCACTTGTGTGCCGGGGGACTAGTAATACCTCCAGCACACATGACTCTGAAACTCTAAAATAAGTCCGTACTCAGTGCGAATTGCACATTGCCAATGGACATAATTAGATTATCCATTGCGGGCAGAGCCAGCATTTGTCTCCCCTCCCTTCTTCCTATACAGAAGCTTTCCCGCCTGCTATACCCTCAGTTATTCTTCATTTTACTAACAAACTTGCCTTCTGAGCCAGTTAAAAGGTAAATTAAAAGGCTTCTCTATGAGAAACCTTTGATTGGAACCTGGGATGGCTGCCATCCGAAAGGGAGTGGAAAGTCAGGCTGGTAGGTTCATCCAGCACTGGATTTCAGGTAAGTTATTGAATTATTTTATTAGTTATTTTATTGTTTTTTGGGGGGGGGAGGGGTGAAACCTAATAAATAGTAATGCCCTTCAATAAATTATGAATTAAATTAATAAAGTGGCAAAAATGATTGGAGTAAACCTATAGTAATGTAGAATTACACTTCCTCATTAGCAATATCAGTTTTGTCCATACTTGGATAGCAGTGATAAGCTGATAGATACAGGAAATCCTAGAGATTGAAATATGAGGAAGTAATGAGTAAAGGAATGCATCCTGGGTAGAAAGAACAGTGTAGGTGTGTAAGCACGTGTATGCTTTATATGAAGGGTCAGAAATGTCAGACATTTTTTGGAGACTAATTAATTATGTTATAATGTTAGAAATGACTGAAAACTGGAGCTGTTCTTAATGTCTTCAATTATGGACTGAATGTGGTGGGAAAATGAAAAAAAGAGAGAAATTGCCAAGAGAGTGAACCAAGACACATGTATCAGGCACTGTAGATGGAATTTGTAAGTGCTGTGAAATTTGTTGGCGCTTTATAAATACTAATAATAATAATAAAGAAACACTATTGGGTCAAGAACACAAACATATTCATGATCCTATACTGTTAAAACCACCATTTAGGTGGCTTGCCCTCCCCCAAGCCCCACAAAGAAGGCTCATAAAACCTACTTTATTTCCAGCGCCGCGGGTGTTTGCTGCTGCTGGCCCTGCCTCCGATCTGCCTCTTTGCTGACATCATCATAATTTATGATTTCAGCCAATCCAATACTTTCCCATAGTTCTGAAATCCCATATGGCTGAAACTGGCATAGGCGTGCGCAGCCTATTGCATAAGGGTGTGCACCCTAAAGCACAAACACACACGCCGCGTATATATGTATATATATATATATATATATATATATAAATAAAAGAAACCAAGAGGGCTGCACTCACTTGAACCATTTAGTTAATAGCCCCCGTCCCTTCTTACCTTTTGTAGGGAGGGGGGACCGTGCTGCCGCCATCCCTAGTGGTCCAGTGGTGAGTGAACTCTAGCCTGCGAGGCTAGAGTTCACTCTCGCGACATCTGAGCGTTGCCACGGCAACGCTCCGACCTCGCAAGAGGAACCCGGCACAGCTGCTGGTAAGAGCTCCCCGGGTCCTCTGATTCCTCCCTCCGGCTTATGGCACATAGTGCGGGCCGCGGGGATTAGGGTGTGCCCAGGCACACCCCATGCGCACGCCTATGGAAACTGGCAAAGAGGTGGGATGGGACGGGCCAAACTCTGGCTTGGCCAATCAGCCCCTCCTCATAGAGATGCATTAATTCAATGCATCTCTCTAAGGAAAATTCAGCATCACCACACTCTGCATCTGAGGAGTTGCCACTGGAGGTGTTCCTAGAGTGCAATGTTAGCACTACCTTTTCTCTGAAAAGACAGTGTTTACATAAACATGCCTGCAGGGAATGATTATACCCACCAGAACAACCACATTAAGCTGTAGTTGTTCTTGTGACTATAGTGTCCATTTAAAGGGACACTATAGTCACCAGAACAACTACAGCCTATTGAATTTGTTCTGGTGAGTAGAATCATTACCTTCAGGCTTTTTGCTGTAAACACTGTCTTTTCAGAGAAAATGCAGTATTTACATTACAGCCTAGTGATAACTTCACTGGCCACTCCTCAGATGGCTGTTAGAGATCCTTCCTGGGTCATGGCTGCCTAAAATGCATCCAAACATTCAGTGTCTCCTCCCTCTGCATGCAGACACTGAACTTTCCTCATAGAGATTCATTGGTTCAATTCATCTCTATGAGGAGATGCTGATTGGCCAGGCTGTGTTTGAATTGTGCTGGCTTTGCCCCTGATCTGCCTCTTTGTCAGTCTCAGCCAATCCTATGGGGCAGCATTGTGATTGGATCAGGCTACCACTTCTGATGATGTCAGCAGGCAGTGGGCAGGTCTAAAGGAAAGAGTGACAAAGTAAGCAGCTCCAGACTTGAATACAAGTAGGATTTACTATATTTAGGGAGGCATGAGGGGACCAGGGGGGCTAGATGGTGGTTTTAACCCTATAGGGTCAGGAATACATGTTTATGTTCCTGACCCTATAGTGCACCTTTAAAGAATATAGATTAATAGCATTTCAGATTTTAACATTTTAAGAATTAAGTTGCTGGGTGCTGTGGGTTTGTGTAAAACTCCTTAAGGATTCTTGTAACATAGTTTCATACGTCCATATTTTTTTTTTTTGCTCTTTTTCTAATAAAAATTAAATATATATCTAAGTTCTAAAGCTAGTTTTCAGTAAAATACATTGTTTATTCTAAAAGCTTGCTATTCAATAATTTAAAATCAGTATTCAGTTATTGTTAATTCCATTATTTTGACATTCAGGATAAACTAGCTCTACTCTCATTCACTACTGGTGGAACAGAGGAGATGTTTTCTAAGGATGGGATGAGCGGTGATATCCGGTATGTGCTTTGGCCCATGCAGGTAATAGCTTCATTGCTGTATACATAAATTACTATGTGCTCATGTTCATATGATACAGTATTTGATATTGATTAAACCTAGATGTTAAAACATTTGTAAAGTGTGTCAAAAACATTTAACAAGTGTACTTTGATTTAGAAAAGTGGAGACAGTTTGCTAGTAAAACTGCAGTCGTAATTACATTTGATTTTATTAATAAGATGAGCTACATGAAAAGAGGCAGTGTAGCCCTACAAGTTCAAGCAATCATATATCACATGCCATTATGGAATTGTACTATTGGCAAAATGTATACTAGCTAGCAATATGTAGTACTATTTTTAGAATTTAAGCATATAAATATATATATATATATATATATATATATATATATATATATATATATATATATACACTATTTTAGGAACAAAAAGGGTTACTTCAAGCATCATTACCAGTACACCCATTACAGCGCTGGATTAACATAGGGGCTGATGGAGCTGCAGCTCCAGGCACATTCCTATGGAATAGGCCCATTGCTTAAATAAAAAAAGGTTTTTTTTTTTGTTTGTTTTTTTACTTCTCTTCACATGTAGATGTAGGGAAACAAAACTTGTGTGGACTGGCTGACAATGAAATTAGTTAAGGTAAAGTTGACTTTGCACTCTATGCAAATGCTCTTGCTGCTTCAGTCTATTAAGAAAGTTAGGAAAGGAGGGGACAGGTGAATGCTAGGGGACAGTCCTTTGAAAGCATAGACCTAGCGCATAATTAGACACATTTATGCCAAGCTCAGGGTGCTCTCTGCACAGTATGCCCCTAGTTGGTCATCCTGCATGATTGGCAGGCAGCCTGACATGCATTCCTACCAAGCTGACCTAATTCCTCGGGCAGATTTTTTGGGGCATGTTTGCCCTTATGTGATTCTGGTTACGTGATTCACGTTAGTGGCCCACCCTTATACCCTGCCCACCGAAATCCTGCTTCAAAAGACACTGCTATTAGGGGGTTTGGATTTACTTGAACGATGAAAGCGAGAAATTAGCATAGGACATGTGTTTTCTGATAGCTATATCCTGCTTTTTTTTTCCTCCAGCACCACCTCCACCAGATACATAACAATTGGGAGGTATTTTAGTGTTTTCTGTCGATACGATTCTATAATTAGGCCCATCATAATTGTCAGCACCTGGCCCAATGGGCTTTTAATCTAGTCCTGCCACTGTAGTGGTAATGATACCAAAAGTACTGAATATTTGGGTGCCATTTCCCAGTAAGTGCACAAAGTGTTCTGCAACAATTTAGTTCTTATTTGGGTCCTGCTGTGCGCCAAGTCTCCTTCAATGCCGGCTGAATTTCACTAAGCATCTGTAAACCCGCAGCAGCCAGATTCTAAACCCACTGAGTATTCATTGGCTGAGAGCGTCAACTAAACACTGTCGGCCAATCAATGAATCTGTATGCATGGGACGGGCATAGAATTGACACTAGCCAGCCTGGAACATTCATCCGGGGCTGGCTAATGACACCACTGGAGGTGGAGTTGCACTTCTGGCAGGAATTAGATATCTAAGTATGAACACTGCACATCCTGGGTTGTTGCACCATGGCCACTTCAAAATGCTGAAATGGTCATGTTGGAGTAACCCTTTAAGTTAGAGCAGGTTCATACATTTTTCTTTGTACTCATTCTGAAAGATACAGTCATATGGTGTCTATAAAGTAAAGTGTTTTTTGTTTTTTTACAAAAGATATACAATTGTAGCATTGAAATATATAGATATATAGGTGCGTTGTCATAAAATAGCACTTTATCAAATTTCAATCATTCATACGTACTTTCATACAAAATAAAGGAGATAAAAGAAGTAAAGTGTTTTTTGCAAAGTGCACTTACCAGAATTTTGACTAATTTGTCACTTTAAAAAAAATTATTCTTATTCAGAGGTTTTTGTTTTTATTTGAATTTAGTTAGACTGTACTTTTTTGAACTATTACACTTTTAAGGTGCTGCTTTCTTATAAAATATAAAAAAACTGTCCTTTTAAATGTTATAGGATATTGTTCATCACCTTATTTACTTGTTTTTATTTTTTTTTGTTTCTCAGCATGGCATAATGCATTTCTGTGGTTTCAAAGTCCTTGCCCCACAAATTACTTATGCACCAGAATATGTTGGAGATGAAAAAAGGAAAAACATGCTGCTCTTATGGGCAAGGAGGCTGGAGGCCATCTGGGATGAGCGGCCTATAGAGTGCACTCCACCATGGTACTTCCAGTAGAGAACCTGGATGAACCACTGCACATCATAGCTATTTGATGACACAAGCTCAGATTGCTCTATGAAAAGTTGCACCACAATTTCTCTATTGTGTGCAGTGTGTTATAACTTGTATCAATAAAATTGGTTATTGATCCTGCGGCCTTTGTTGTTGTTTCATTCAACCTTTTTTTTTTTTTTAAATAGGCTATACTCAAATTGTTTCTATCCAAGTAAATAAGAAAATTAAGCAAATATATATATCAGGGCATAAGATGCTACAAGTCAGTCCTCAAAAAAAAATCCTCGCCACTGCTAGCCATAGTATACCCTGAAGAGGTGTGAAGTTCTAACTATCCAACTCATACAAGTAATGATAGATCCTTTTTTTTTTTCATAAAAGTATGTCTGAATGTAAGTTTATGACAAAATGCAGGTAACCACCACTTTTAGAATCACAAGATTGCAACTCTGAACTGGAGAATGTCTGCAGAAACTGTTTGCGATGTGCTCTTAAAGTTTTAATATTGGTATGAGCATCTGGTTGGGCAGGCCAAGACAAAGACTCTTCCTATGTACTGGTATGCCCAAAGAATTGTAGCACAAATGCAGTTTTCAATGTGATTAATATTTTATATATTTTTTTAATTATAATTAATTAGAAGAGACCTCTCAATATGTTATCTGTTGTAGACTATTTCAGAAAATTTGATAAAATTAATACACAAAAATCAGTATCTCTGAAACTAAAAAAAATATATATAAGGAAAGCTAAAAAGCACTTGACGGGGGCGTGTCCGACTGCCGAGTGGAACGGACGCATGGAGTGAGAGCTCCCGGTCCGAGACGGCTACAGCGTGACTTATAGCAGCTCTTACCCCCCGGCTGACGGTGAGAAACGGGCGGGTTATCTTCCCCTCACCTCCCATGGCCCCGGCAAAGCAGACTAAGCTGACGGATCCGATCCGCCACGGGAAAAAAGACCGGTCGCGGCCGGCGCAAGATGGCGGCGGTGAGGAACTGGAATCCTCACAGGCCTCAAACCCTTCCACAGAGAATGAGGAGCAAGTATACACTGATGCCCCAGTTACAGAAAGAAAACTTCATGCAATGCTGAAAGACTTTAGACTCATCCTGCAGTCTGATTTGAAAAAAGCCACAAATGATATTAAGAAGGAAATAGCAGATCTGGGGGAAAGAACAAACAATTTAGAAACACATACTGATGACATATGCGCAGCGCAAGATGCCTTGGCAGACACAGTACAACAATTAGTGAGTGAACAACAGTTCTTAAAAAGAAAATTAGCGGACATGGAAGATCGCTCACGCAGAAACAATATTCGCTTCCGTGGCATTCCAGAAAGCGTCACGAGAGAGCAATTGCCGCAATACCTTACTTCCCTGTGCAAGTCGCTGGTGCCGGAGATATCGGAGCCAGAATGGCTCATGGACCGAGCCCACAGACTACCGAAACCGCAGAATCTGCATAAAGATACGCCACGCGACGTGGTCGCTCGCTTCCACTACTATAAGACGAAGGACCACCTACTGCAGGCGGCGAGGAAAATCACCGAGATGCCCGCACCATACACGGGTGTTCAATTATACGCAGACCTGTCAGCTATGACCATGGGCAGACGCAGAGAATTCATCAACGTGACAAAGTCCCTGAGAAACAACGGCATACAATACAGATGGGGCTATCCTACAAAACTACTTATATGGAGGAATGCCAAAACGCATACCGTCAACGAACCGGAGGTGGGAATGCGCTTACTAAAAGAATGGGGCCTATTCCCGCTACAACCGAGAGACGCTTCGACTACAGCATCCCCGAGAGGACCGCATGCTGACTGGCAGATGGCGGGCTCGCCACAAAGAAAAGAATAGAACTCCAGTCGGGGCCCAACAGGGACATACCACTAACCCACTGTAGAATTGGACACTGAGAGACACTCTAACCCAATACTAGCCTCCGCTCTGTGACATGCAAATGTAACTGGATTGTGAGTATGTTATTCTGAACCTCTTACTGTGATACATTATATGCGAATCCCTATTGCCCAAGGAGTAAAGCATTACGTAGCGGAGTGACCAAACCTGTTAAAACCCAGAGGGTGGGGACTCAGGGCAGATACAATGGGGACGGTAGGGACGCAATCTCTAAGAGTACTATAGCAAGTGGGAAGTATGGGGTACAGAAGTCACGACTCAGACAATATATACTATACAGGTTTTGTGACGGCATAACATATCCATGATAGCAAGATGGAGGGGAGGGTCTTGTGGGTGTTCCATTGGTGGGTCCTGGCTGGACATCTCAGACGTGTTTGTAAGGTTAACTGGAGGAAAGCCGTCACGCACTCGGCTGAATCTCCCAGGTGCGTCCCCAGGATGAGACGTGAGACGGACAGTCTGCCCGCTCACACCTCACCCACGTAGAGCGCTAGTTTTCTCCATGGCGCTTTGTACATACTTAAGTTATTGTTTTTCCCTCCCTGTTTTTATGTCCATCATCCCTACATTCCCCCCTTTCAGTCCCAGATCAGTAGCGTATCGCATGTCGCAGGCAGCGAATGCCGTCCCACGGCCCCAGCATAGCATAACACTACACCAGGATCATGGATGACTCTCTGACAATCCTAACCTTAAACGTTAAGGGTCTCAATAGCCCACACAAAAGGAGGCTAGCAATACAGGAAATGACCAAGTCCAAGGCAGCGATTATAGGCCTCCAAGAGACGCACTTCTGTATTAGGAAACATCCCACACTCAATGTCAAACAGTATCCTCAAGGATACCACGCAATGCCAAACACTAAGGCTAAAGGAGTTGCTATCTATTTCCATAGGGACTGGGCATTCACGCCATCCAATCAATTTGCCAGTCGAGATGGGAGAATACTAATATTAGTGGGCTCCTTAAATGGTTTAGCGGTGACTATAGCTTCCATATATGCGCCGAACGATAAACAAAAAACCTTCCTCAGCAAAGTGTTTAGGACAATTGACAAGTTCAGAAAGGGCCACACAATTATATGCGGGGACTTTAATTGCGCTCCAGATCCCGATGTCGATATAAAACGAGAGGGGAACAAATTACCACAACAACATTCAATCTCACTAGGCCAACATTTTAGGAAATTATTGCATGGGCATAACTTTTATGACACCTGGAGAGGCCTGAACCCGAGCGGGAGGGACTACACGTATTACTCGTCGGTCCATAGGACCTACACGAGAATTGATCTTTGTCTACTTGACACCAAAACACTGCCCTTCGCCATTAAGGCTCACATTGGGCCAATCACGTGGTCCGACCATGCCCCATATGTTGTCACTATGCGAATTCCGTATCCAGCTAGGGGTAGAGGCACATGGCGCCTGAATGAAAGTCTATTAGACGTACCGGCACATCTCCAACGACTACAGGTCCGGGCTGAAGAATTTTTCGCTGACCACGTAGACTGCTCGTCATCCGACGCTACAAAATGGCTGGCCCATAAGGCCGTCATGAGGGGAGAATTAATCCAGATAGGGGCTAGAACAAAGAGGCTGCACAACACAACACTGGACAAGGTAGAGAAAGATCTGGCCTTAGTAGAATCCGCCCATAAAACAAACCCTACAACGGCAACACATAAGCGACTGATGTCACTTCGCACAACACTTCATAGCCTCAACCTCGCTGTAACAGAAAGACACCTGAGGTTTTTGAAGCAATCATACTATGTTATGGGTAATAAAGCTGGGAAAATGCTGGCCAATAAAGCGAAACAAACTAAATTGCAATCTAAAATCCCGTACATAACCTCCACAACTGGGGATAAATTATACAACCCCCAAGACATAGTGAACGAACTAGCGAAATATTATGCCTCACTATATCAACTAGAAAAAGATCCCTCCACACACCAACCGACGGAAGACGAGATAGTACGTTTTCTAGACAGAGTGCCCTTAGCCAGTCTAACGCAAGCGCAACGAACCCAACTGGAGAACCCCTTCACGGAGGGCGAAGTAGAAATAGCAATCAAATCCCTCCCCAAACATAAGGCCCCCGGACCAGACGGAATATCCAACTACTACTACATAAAACTGACCAAACAACTACTCACGCCTCTCACCAACCTATTCAATCACATAAAAACTGCAGGGAATATGCCCACGGAAATGCTGGAGGCACATATAGTGACGTTACCCAAACCCAACAAACCCCCCACACACTGCGCAAACCTACGTCCGATCTCCCTCCTGAATGCAGACACCAAATTGTATGCCAAACTCCTTGCTACCAGAATTAAACCAATCCTAGCAGACCTCGTCTCGGAGGAGCAAGCGGGCTTCGTCCAGGGGCGTCAGGTAGGGGACAACACTAGACATTTCCTGAACCTGATTGAATGGGCGAACGTCTCGCATCAAACGGGACTCTTGCTAGCGCTTGACGCTGAGAAGGCGTTCGATCGCCTACATTGGAGGTATATGTCACTCACCCTCACCAGAATGGGATTCCCACTAAACTTTAGTTCGAGCATAATGGCACTGTATCAAAACCCTTCAGCAAAAGTCTTATCACGGGCTTCGTATCTATAAGGCTCGCCATATGTAATGGCACCAGACAAGGATGTCCTCTTTCCCCCCTAATATTTATCCTATGCTTGGAACCGCTAATAAGAATAGTAAAAAATGATCCCAATATACATGGGCTGCATACCCAGGGGGGCGAAAAGAAACTAGCTCTGTTTGCCGATGACATACTGCTGTTTGTTACAAAACCAGAGTCCTCCCTTCCCAATCTCATGAGAACGCTGGTAGACTATGGGAAGGTATCGTACTATAAAAACAACATAACCAAAACGCAAGCTCTACCCATAAACCTACCAAAACCTACATTAGAAAGGATAAAACCGCAGCACCCCTTCGATTGGCGCACCAATTCCTTAAAATACTTAGGTGTAAACCTCACCAAATCCCTTCAAACGGTGATCAAAGAAAATCACTTCCCCGTGCTAAAGAAAATCAAATCCTCCCTCGAACAGTGGGCTAGCATGGATACCTCCTGGCTAGGACGTATTAATCTAATTAAAATGATGACACTTCCACACATACTATACTTATTCAGAACCCTGCCCATATTCCTCCCGACTGCGCTGCTCAAACAATTCCAAAGCACGATCAATGCACACATCTGGAAGAGGAAGCCCCCGAGAGTGAATAAAGGGTGTCTGGGTCTCCCTTACGTCCAAGGTGGACTGGGGATGCCGGATGTAACGGCATACTACAGGGCCTCTTTCTTGGCACAGGGTCTGCGACTCATTAGGATCCATAATCTCCCCCGTAAACCGCTCTGGCTGTCATTAGAAAATGAATGCCTAGAGGCACACGACACAGTCCATTACTTGTGGACATGCTCCACGCCCCGAACATCTGCGGGCATGACCCTGAGATGCTCGATCACTATGCTTACAGCATGGAAGACCTGGTGTCCGAAGGTACTGGACCCAGTACGGTTATTTAGGGAGGCACCCATCACGACACTAGCAGCCTACTCCCCAGGCATACAGGTGGGCAAATGGCTTAACAAGGGAGCGAGATTAGTGAGGGATTTAATGTCAGGAGATGCGGTGAAACCATTCCCTGAATTGAAAGAGGAACTGGGGTTAGACTTGAGAGATCTGTACCTTTATTTAAGGATCAAAAATATAATACTAACCCATGGTAACCACACAGTCGCTCGAACTGACTCTCCGGTACTCCAACCTAGCCACTTATCTCTGATAAAGGCAGCAAAACCGCTCTCCCTATGCTATAATGCGTTGGTCACAGAAAACACCCCAGATAAACTGAAATACATGGCAAAATGGGAGCAGGACCTGGGACTTCATATCTCCCAAGCAGACTGGCAGTCTGCAAGGGCAAATACAAAACAGGCATCGAGTAGCCTCTCGCTATGGGAGGCCTATTGCAAGATAACTATGAGGTGGTATCTGGTACCACAGAGACTAGCGAGTATGTACTCAGGCGCTACGAACTTGTGTTGGAGATGCGAGTCGGACACTGGAACCATGTTACATGTGTTCTGGAAATGCCCGTTGCTAGACGGATTCTGGAAACAAATCCAAATCCTGATCTCGAGTAAAACTGGCACCTCTATCCCATTGCGACCGGAAAAGTACTTATTACATGTCATACCAGACCTAGTCACGCATCCACACAAAAAAGTGATTCTGAATATACTGACGATAGCAAAAGTAGCTTTAGCTGGTAACTGGAAAAGCAAACAAATTCCTCAGATAGAGGTGATTATCAACAAAATGAATGTGATTAGTATGTACGAGAAAATGGCCAGCAAACTGAAAGGATGCCTAGGAAAGTATGATAAAGAATGGGTATGTTGGGCGGCCTACATAGTCCCTGACTGACAACTAAGACAAACCGACTGCTCAAACCAAATGGTTAACCATCATAGTGGGCCAATAAGGGAGCACACAGGCGCAAACGTTAAGGGACCAAAGGGGTCAGGGCGTTGAGGTGCTCAGGGTACATATAGCCTCATCAATCTCACAAGCTACATAAGGAAGGTGATCTGTACTGTACTGCTGGCTGCGATGTGAAGCTGTGTCCAGGGATCTCCCCTCCCCCCCCCCCTTTTTCCTTCTGTATCCCAACCCCTCCCAAGTTAACTATAAAAAACAAAAAATGTACCGCATGCTTTGAAACTGTATGTATGTAACACATCGAACATCGCCTGACACACAGATTATTTGTATGACTATTTGTATACTTAAGCGGTTAATTGATCAATTGAGCGAGAAATAAGGCTCTACATAGGGCGACATGTAGAATGTTATCCGCAAATATCGCTGTGTAGGCGACTTGAAATTAATTACCATGTTATGTGTTGCAATTGTCATTCAATAAAAATGATAAATGAGAAAAAAAAAAAAAAAAAAAAGCACTTGACTACTTTAAAGATCTGAGAATTATTTTATCTCATCCTTTTTTCATTTAGTGAACCAAGTCTAATCAGCCTAGAAAATACAAAAAGTGGAGTAATATAGTAAACATACAGTACCTAAAAAGGATATCTATATCTGAACTCAGTTCTAACGTGATGCCACTATATTTATTCTGCCCTCATTTTACACTTTTCTTTTTGTTTTTGTTTTTTTTGTTACAGTTCTACAGTTTGTCTTTCTTCAGCTAGACAGATAACTCACCCATACACCTCCGTATTTGAATGGCTTTATTGAAGCTTGTCATTCGCGTGGACAGTGTAATGCATAGAAATAAATGCAAATGTATATAAGGCAAACCACATATGAATATGAAAAATGTAATATAATTTCCAACCAGTCAGTTAATTTACCTGAATTGTCCTTTAACATCAGTAACCATTTTCTGCAACCTTGCAGGGTCGAATCACCAAAACCAGCCAAACAGTCCGCACTCATAAAGATCTCAGAATAATCCACCGGGTAGATTATGGAAAGTGCATATTTTATTGTAAAAAAATGGTTAACAACATGTCATAAAAATATGTGCAGGGAGGCGTGGCCAGCACCAAGCATGAACAGACGCATATCGGCAGAGCTCTGTCCCAACCTAGCAAAAAACTGCAAAATATCCCAATTGCCGACACCTGCTAGTCGGACAACGCCGAACCCCCCAACAGAGACCACCATGGGGTGCAAGCACAAAAAATCTTGCCCTCTAGAGACCCAGAGAATGTCTGATATCAGGCTTTCTTTTGAGAGGCCCGGGCAGACGGACCGCTCCAAAATGGCGCCCGCGGCTCAGAGCAAGGAGAAAGAGAGAAAACACCCGCAAAGACAGAGCGAGTCTAACTCAGACTCCGAATTAGACCCAGACTCTGCACCAGTTACAAAAGGGGACATGAAGCACCTTCTGCAAGGTATGGAAGGCAGACCTCAAAGAGGCGCAATCAGAAATAGGGGAGCTAAGAAAGAAAGTTACGGACGCCGAGAACAGAGACAAAACCAGGGAGAGCCAAATACAGGCTACCCCGGGACAAGTAACCGAACTGGCACAGCAGGTGCAGCGACTTACCCGCTCCGTTACCTCACTGGAAAATAGACACAGACGGCAGAATGTCCGAGTGAGGGTCGCCCCGGAACAAATTGATGGGGAACGACTGCTTCCCTATATACAAAGCCAAGTGGCCTCGATGGGCCTGAAAGAAAGTGACCCCAAGGGGATAATAATAACATCATTTCGCATCAGAAAAGCGGCAACTGTCCCTCCAGGAGCAACCAGAGACGTAATAGCAGTCACAATAGATGTACCAGCCAGAAATGCCATCATAAAGAGATCCAGGGAACTAGGCACAATCCAGTTCGAAAATAGCTCAATATACAGAGACATACCGTTCGAGGTACTACTGGCTAAAAGGCAACTAGCTCCAACAGCCAAGGCACTGAGAGAAGCATCGATTTGCTACAGATGGGGAGAAGAAGGATCCCTTATAGTTACGCAGGGAGCCGAAACCATCACCCTGACACCCAAAGAAGACCCAAAGACCCTTTTCTAGCGATTGAACAGAGTTGCAGTGGGCACAGATAGCGAAGAGACTTAAAGCTGCCAAGACAGGGAGAAATGTACCCCCCACAGACCAACCCATCCATGACACCCCAGTTAGCTTATACCTACCCATATTCATTTCTATTAGAATTGCGACCCGCTAGATGACTCCTGGGGCACGGGCTACCGCATTGCCAAGACACAGTCACCCCACACTCATATGACTAGTGACCAGGAGACAACACAAATCAGCTGCACACAAAACCAGATTACAAGCACTAAAGCCCTGCAAAAGCCAGACAGCAGGACTATTCAGAGGCCTGCCTGCCCCAGCAATAGAAGCTCTCGCAGCTGGATACCAACTACAAAGAACCGAGAGACAAGACAACAAGTGCAGGACTCAAGCCAGTGGACATGAACACCAACCTGCTACCCTACATATGTGACGCTCCTGAGGCCTGTTACCGTACATATTTGTAGCTCATAATATATGTTGATATGTTGACATAACTAATACATTTATGATATGCGTTGATATACATGTATACTGAGTAAAACAATTTCAATAAAATATAAATTGGAAAAAAATATGTGCAGACCTCATTAGTGTCAGGCAATCCAAAATCTTCAAGCACATTTCAATTAATGCAGATTCTATCTCCCTTTGTTTCAGTCCAAATGTGAATTCAGATGGATTTAGGGAAATTCGGACATTTGGATGTTTCCAAATGTCAAAAGTGCCGAACCGAATTGCTGAAGTCCCGAATTTCGTAATTGCCGAAGTGCTTTGGATTTCTGAAAAGTGGCAAAAAAAGAGAGGGAGGGAAAATTATGTGAATGATGACAGGGTTAGGGTATGGTTAAGTTAGGGTTAGGGTAGGGCTAGGTGAGGGTTAGGGTTAGGGTATGGGGTAGGGTTAGGGTTAAGGTAGAGTTAGGTTAGGGCAGGGTTAGGGTAGGGTTGAGTTAGGGGGAAGGTTAGGGTATGGTTAAGGTAAGGTTGGGTTAGGGTAGGGTTAGGTTAGGGTAGGGTTAGGTTAGGGTAGGGTTAGTTTAGGGTTAGTATAGGGCAGGATTGGGTTAGGGTAGGGTTGGCTTAGGGTTAGGGTAGGGATGGCTTAGGGTCAGTGTAGGGGTAGGGTAGATGATCTCAGGCAAGCAGGCGAAGCTTCCCCACTGAGACCAGCATTTTGCGGGGAAAAGGTAAGTAAGCTATGTTTTATTTACTCCTTTCAGGTGGGGGGACAGCCATTTAAACAGTCACCAGGGTTCTAGAGCGCTGGAAATCCACACTTGTATTCCTAGTGCTATAGTGCTCTTTTAATCTTCCACAGTCCCTTCCTCTATCTCCCTTATTTTTTTATTTTATTTTTTATTCCATGCAAAATAGATTTTATTGTTTTAATATTGTGTTTTCATGGAGATCATATTTCTATATTTTACATTCATTGATACAAAATATGTAGCTGGCTTTGTTCTGTGATATAGAAATGCTAAAAGTAGTTAAAGAATTAAAAAAATATATATATAAAAGTTTGACCACAGCAAGATGCATCATTAGATCAACACAAAACAATGTGAGGTATTAAGCTGATGTGACTTACAGCCATGTACTACATACATTGTAGATTTAGGGTTTTGGGCTAAGATTACTCAACAGTTAGGGTTCTGGAGTACCCACTTCCATGAAGTTGATAATAAAACTAATTTGATTGAAAATCTTGGGAGTTACTGTTCACAACATCACAATGCAACCCAATCCTAAATACCCCATAATCTTAAACCAACCTAGCTCTAATTATAGTCCAACCCTTAACCCCCAAAACCTTAAAGTTCTACTCCATTCTTAAACCTCCCATAATCATAGCATTACCTTAGTAAAAGCTATTTAAAACTCCCATAATCATAACATTATCTTAGTAAAAGCAATTTTAACACAGTAGGTTATAACCATTCACCTGTGCCCTAAAAGCACAGAGCAAGGATATGGCTAGATATATTTGCACTGCACAGCATTGAGCTGATACAACAGTACTTCAGTTGTGCATCAGGAGAACAATTAATACAACTTAGCACACTCTAACTGCCATTGCCATAGCATGAAAATGGGTATTTCCATGTCCAAGCAGCAAGTCTCAGATCAACAGTCACAATATCAAACGATAGCTGGAGTGGTATAAAGCACCCCGCCAGTGGACTCTGGAGCAACGATAATGTGTTTTGAATTTCGGTGTGGTGGGTTCCAAGAGAACCTACCCTTCAGGGTCCAATTCAAACTTCTAACTCTAGCCTACAAGGCCCTCACTAACTCCACTTTCCTCTTTCTCAAATACACCCCTTCTCATTCCTTTCTCTCTGCTAACTACCTTCTCCAGACAACTGCTCGTTCCTGCACTGACAACTTATGTACAGGATTTTTAAAGGGCTGACCCATTCCTTTGGAATTACTTATCCCATCAGACTCTCCCTTAGCTTCCAATCCTTTATGAAGTCAATAAAACACACCTAATTAGGAAAGCTTATAATCTACCTGGATGGCATCTCCTCATCTCACACTTGCCGCCCTCTGCTCCCTTGACTTGATATCCCAACTGACTCTCTTCTTCCACTGTTCGCTTGTCCCTCACACCACTTTGACTAGCTTATTTCAACACAGTCATCTTATTCATTAGTCTTTTCTCCCCTCTGACATGCTATTTCTCTTTCGTGTTTTACCCCTTCCTCATAGATTGTAAACTCATTTGAGCAGTACTTTCTTTTCGTCTTGTCTCGGTTAATTATTGTACGTCAATTACTTGCCAGATATACCCTTTTATTTAATTGCATAGTGATGAAGAATATATTGCCTCTATTTGAATGGCAATAATAATAAATATTCTTTGCATATATATAGTTAGAAAATGTATTGCACTTCTGGTTCTTGGAGATATGTATGGGTAGATCTATTAAGAAAGCTGCTTAAAATTGTTTTTAGGCATGGTGACTGCTACACTAATTTACTTTGTTTTTCATTATGAAAGGTAGGCACCACGCGGTATACTACATTTCTCTGCAAACCCTGAATTTTAAGAAAACATTGGTTTTGTTTGCAATTTGCCTTCTTAGCTTGGTTCAACCCCCTCCCAAGAAACATAAAAATCTCTAAAACTCCTTAATTTTCTTTGCCAAGGCCAAGTTCTCCCACAGCCCGATATGTTGATATTACTTTTTTTTTACCAGAGGGGAAGAGAAGTCAGGGAGGGTGGGCTAATGGGAGAACATGGGTGGCACAAAAGGTGGCCATGCCACCTTTGGCTGTCTGGCGCCAGCATTGTGCAGAATTGATATTAGTCAACCTGGAACCAGAGACGTAACTAGAAACCATCGGGCCCTGGTGCTAAAATTGCCCTGGGCCCCACCCCCAATGTGTCTCATTCTCCTCCAGCCCCTCCATGTGTCTCAGCCCTCTAAATGTGTATAATTCCCTCCCCACCCTAGCCCATCCATGTGTCTTATTTCCCTACAGCCCCTCCATATGCAGAGATCCCAAGTCTCCCTGTAGGTCCGGGAGGCTCCCTCATTTTGCATGCTGCTCCCTGACACCCTCATATCATGTATAATATCCTGAAAATCACACACACAATCTGACATACAATGTATATCACATTGTGTGTGTGTTGATTACCAGGTTATCATATATGATTTGTATCCCCTTCCTCATTTTTTATTTTATTTATTACTGGTATTTATAAAGCGCCAGCAGGTTCCGCAGTGCTGTACAATTAGTGGAGGATGTAAAATATACACAGACAAATACAAAAGGTAGAGAGGGCCCTGTCCGTAAACTGAGCTCTAGCCATTTAAGCTCTTTTATACAACGTGCTTAGCTAGATAGCCCATGAGCCTACAATCTACAGGGATACAGTGGGGATTTGAGACAAGAGGTAGCAGGGGAAATTTGGAAGGGGGCCAGGTCAGGTGCCGTCACTTTAAGAGCCAACCATAGTATCAGCAGGCAGGGAGGAAGTGATGACAGCCTGTCACTTCCTCCCTGCTTTACAGAGAGCCGCACAGGAGGAATGTAGAGAAGAGGAGGCTGGAGCAGCAGCTGTACAGGCAGCATGGGGGCAGAGGAGAGGCTGGCGTGAGCTGCTACTGCATGCTTACTCCCATGAGCCTCAGCCAGAGCTTCAGGACACAAAGGTACGGTAAAATGAGCACCAGGGTAAGACTATTGTCTCTGTTCGGTAGTTTGTTTGTTTTCAAAGTACCGAACTAGACCGACTGCAAGCCCTTTGTGACGAAGTGCCCTTCGCCACTTGTGCCTGGAGAGGACTGCTTGCCCGCCTCTTGCCCTGTGACTATGGCCCCTGGGATGTATTGCCCTTTAAAGACATGATTTGGGCATAATGGACTTGTGTTGTGCTGCTGCTGGCCCTTTTAAGAACCATCTGGGGACATACTGTGGAGTTACTGGGTGGCCACCATTTCCTGTATCAGAAGCACATGGTGAGAACAATGGATGGCGGCCATTTTAACTCACAGACACTGTGTGGACTTTTCAACACGGTGCAAGTATTTGTTGCACAGAGACATCGTGCGGTGGTTTTGGACTATACAGCAGGGGACACATTAAACAGTGATTGTTTTTTATTTAGCCTGTATATGTTCTGCAGAATCTGCATTAAACTGTATTTTCCAAAGTACTGAACGGATCTGGGTGAATTTTGGATATGTGGTTCACCCAGATCCCCCGGTTCCAAGGGTTATTGCATGTTTTGGGGTCCCTGTGTGTTTTATGAAACTGTATTATTTCTGGCCAGCAGATAATTGAGCTTTGTGTATTGTAGAAACTCAATTATCTAGCCTGGCCCAGAGGAGGAGTTTTGTGTTGCATAAATTGTGAGTTCTGTGTGCCAGTAAATCAGTCTTGTTCCAGCATTAAGCCTTGGCTCATGTTTGGGGGAAGGGATACCTACACTCTGGGGATTGCTATAATCACTTACTCCCCAGAGGAAGCTCTTGCAATAGCTTGATTTGTTCCTGTTCCTGCTCTCTGGGGAAAGAGAGGTTCACCCACTGGAAGCTGGATCCTGGCCTTGGGTCCAGGGTGGGTGGAAACAGCAGAGACCCCGGCGCAGTTGCATCGCTGGAAGTGGGGTCTGCAGTGCTGATGGTGTCGGTTGGAGTGCTTGGAGTCCTCAGCGAGCACTAGGAGCATCGATTGGCGGAGGTACTCAGTCAGAGTGCCAGCGTTCCGTCACACCCTTATTCTCTGGAACTGTTTTGGGCATGGGACCATGCCTGCAGTCGGGAAAATAAATGACTTCTAGGAAATTCCTGAACCCCTGAACTGATCTGGGTGATTTTCGGATATATTCG